CCTACTTTTCTTAGAGTTGCAATTATTTGTGAAAAATATATGGTCATCATGGAGGCTATGAACTCACAAACCACTCTGGAATCCCTCCTAGGGCAAGGAAATTTATAACAAATCACATTTGGGGATTTCAAAACCAGCTTATGAAGGGCCACTGCCAGGCAGCTAGGCAGCCAGTACATCACTAGTAGCTCAAGCTTATCTCTGCAGCCCAGTTTAACACATGAGCAATTGCAATTAGTCACTTCAGGGGTAATGCTACTGGTCATTACAATAATCTCACAAATTATCACAACCACCCTTCCTCTCTGATTCTGACATTGTGGCTGCTGCAAGACCTGATATCCCGGTGGACAGATTTCTGACTGAGCTATGTCCCCATTGCTGCCTGGCTTAATCTCAATAATACACACCAGGCCTGCACACTTACCAACAGCAGCCAGAGACCAAGGTGCCTGACGATTCAGCCATCTAGGCTCAGGATAGGGGCAACTAGCTTAGAGCACAAAATCTGCACTATCATCCCCATTCTCCTGTAGCGGCCTATTTCATAACTCTCACCATATTTTTCTCTCCCATCACAGTCCCAATATAAGATCCCACTGTAACAACTTCAGCATCCTACACTGACTCATCCCCCAATCCCTTTATGGCCCTCACACATCACATGGCTGCTATGAGGCAGGCACCTCTGATGGCCAAGCCTGGTTCTCATACACCCCAGCTCACTCCAACCCAAGAAAAGTCACTGAGACAATCTTCCAATCAAATAAATCTTTCTGTATGACATATCCCTCCCTTGAAATTTACAAATGCTCCATTAACCTTCTAGCCCCATCCCTGCTAACCATGCACCAGCCTAACATGCAGTAAAGAGGACAGATGCTAATTCTACTGCCCCATTCTCTCATTACAGAGAGGAGTGCTATACCTCAGAACTTCCTAATCTGAGAGGTTAGATCTAAAAAACCTCAGAAAATCCAAGTTTGTTTTCTCTGGGTTTTTTCAGCTGTCTGCTCCATCTATTCACCCATTGCTGAATCATTCCTGACCAGGCATTAAAAGCTGTTATGCTGCCAACAGCCATTCCAATTTCCTGCTTTCCACCACCCTTCATATCCACTCCTCTGTTCCAATATCTTTTGATTCCTCATCTCTATAACTATATCTCTCACTTATTCTTTCTAAGGCAGCCATCCCCAGATTAAAGCAGACTCTCCGGACAACTCAATGTCTTCTTTACCATCTCTGACTTGGTAATGGTGGCTGGCACATTGCTCTTCCATCTTCTTGCAGCAAAGTGTGTTGACAGTGCCATAATGCAGCTCACTGATTGTCACCAACCCCAGCATAGTCTTAGGACTCTGAGAGTATTGTGTACTTCCCAGTCAGGTCTGGGTATCAATCTCATTTGCCATTTCTCTTCTCCAGTTTGTAATTCTATTGACATATTTGGTCCATCCTAAAGATCCCTTTGCCTCCTCCAATCCCTCTACATCCAATACTTACAGTCGTGTGAAAAAGAAAGTACACCCTCTTTCAGTTCTATGGTTTTATGTATCAGGACATAATAAAAATCATCTGGTCCTTAGCAGTTCTCAAAAGTAGGTAAATACAACCTCAGATGAACAACAACACATGACATATTACATCATGTCATCATTTATTTTACCAAAAAAGAAAGCCAAAATGGAGAAGCCATCTGTGAAAAACTAAGTACACACTTACTGCTTCCATAGGTATGAAGAGGCTAAGTAGCAGCCGGGTGCTGCTAATCAAATGCCCTTGATCAACTGATCATCAGCAAGTGTGACTACCTCTATAAAAGCCGAAGTTTTAGGAGTTTGCTGGTCTTGAGCATTGAGGTGTGTGTTAACACAATGCCAAAGAGTAAAGACATCAGCAATGATCTTAGAGAAGCAATTGTTGCTGAGTACACCCTCTTTCAGTTCTATGGTTTTATGTATCAGGACATAATAAAAATCATCTGGTCCTTAGCAGTTCTCAAAAGTAGGTAAATACAACCTCAGATGAACAACAACAATCTGGGAAGGGTTATAAGGCCATTTCCAAACAATTTAAAGTCCATCATTCTACAGTGAGGAAGATTATTCACAAGTGGAAAACATTCAAGACACTTGCCAATCTTCCCAGGAGTGGACATCCTAGCAAATTCACCCCAAGGTTAGACCATGCAACGCTCAGAGAAACTGCAAAAAATCCAAGAGTTACATCTCAGACTCTATAAGCCTCAGTTAGCATGTTAAATGTTCATGTTCATGACAGTACAATTAGAAAAAGACTGAACAAGTATGGTTTGTTTGGAAGGGTGCCAGGAGAAAGCCTCTTCTCTTTAAGAAGAACATGGCAGCACGGCTTAGGTTTGCAAAGTGGCATCTGAACGACTCACAAGACTTCTGGAAGTCTTTGGATAGATGAGACCAAAGTGGAGATGTTTGGCCATAATGCAGAGCACCACATTTGGTGAAAACCAAACACAGCATATCAGCACAAACATCTCATACCAACTATCAACCACATTGGTGGAGGGGTGATGATTTGGGCTTGTTTTGCAGTCACAGGACCCAGGCACCTTGCAGTCATTGAGTCGGCCATGAACTCCTCTGTATACCAAAGTATTCTAGAGTCAAATGTGAGGCCATCTGTCCGACAGCTAAAGCTTGGCTGACATTGGGTCGTGCAACAGGACAATGATCCCAAGCACGACAGCAAATTTACAACA